GAGGAGGTTGCCGGTCGCTGCTCTTTCTCTCCCGAGCTGCTCTCTCTCGCTCTCTGTCTCTCTCGCTCGCTCGCGCTCTCTCTCGCCTTTTTTTTAAAAAAAAAAAAAAAAAAAAAAATCGCAGAAAAAAATCGGATGTGACTAAATTCGCAGAGGAGACGAATTCACGGCGAAGTGTAAAAATAGAGAACGGGAATAATAATGACACTTGCAGGAAAAAGAGAGATCCAAAGTAGGTCGGTAAATAAATCCTCTTCTTTTTCTCTTTCTTGCCTTTTCCGTCTTCTTCTCGTGTGAGAGCGCACGATACTGGTTGCGAGGGGAAAAAAAAAGAAGGAAATCGGTGGAAATCACCCCCAAAATATTCTTTTTTTTGTTTGTTTAGTTGCTTAAAAAAAGTATTTCCTGTAAAAACTCATCACCCAGAAGAGAAGCCCTCCCCCAAAATAAAAAAAAAATAGGCAAGAATGGTCGAAATAATAACGGTATTAAGATGTGAACGCGTTCTTTCTCTCTCTCTCCGGACTTTCCCCCTCCCCCCTGTTTCTCTCTCTCCTTTCCCCCTTTTTTCTTTCTTTCTTTCCGAGTTTTTGTTTTTTTTTTTTTTTTTTCCAGTTTCACCTCTCTCCTCTTCTCCTGCAGGAATGAAGCGAAAGACACAAGGAGGAAGGGTGGAAAAAAGAAGAAAAGGAAGGAGAAGAGGGAGACGAAGGGGGGGGGCACACAACTAATAGAATATGCAAGGGAAGGGGGGGGAGAGAGGGGGAGAGAGGGAGAGAGAGAGAGAGAGAGACCCAAAAAATGAATGCGTTTAAACGGGAAGCCTAGCAGAGCAATGTTTCCGAAAGGGGGATCTGCGCGAATGTCTGTATATAGTGAACTTTGACACTACTATTGAAACTGACACGTTTCTATGGAGATCGCTGCCTTATATGGAGCTCGTGTCAAGGAGCCAAGAGAAGGGCTGCTGGCAACTGATAATCAAAGGCGACTGACTGGTCAGAGCCCTGAACTGGGGGGAGAGAAAATGGGAGGCTAAGGTTAGCCAAGCCTCCTTCACTCCATTGGTTACCCCCCCTCCAACTCCCCCCCCTTTCCCCGCGCTTTTCCCCCTCTCTTTTTCTTTCTTTCTTTCTTTTTTTTTTTTTTCTAATGTAAAAAAAAATTCTCCGCTACCTACTGACTGGGATGGGGAAGGGAGGGGAGAAGAGAGGGGGGAGGAAGGGAGGGAGGGGAAAAGGGAGGGAGAAAGGGTAGAGAGAGGGAGAGGAGATTCTTCTGACAAGCACAATTTACATTGAGATCCCCCTGTGCTGCTATTTACTTTGAGACCTGATTAGTATGGGTCGTCTACGGCCCTTCTACCCCCCACCTCATAACAATTATGTCCATTGCGATAGGCAGAAAGGTGCAATTAAAAGGACACGGTGTGGGCTCCCTGTGAAAAGTTGGTGTGGGGGTTTTGGTTTTTTTCCCTCTACAGATCTGAAATAGGGATTTGTCTCCCGCTTTCCCGTTGGAAAAGCCACTCCCGGGGTTTTAATGATGGAGAAGGAAACACTCCCGCTGCACGGAGGAGCAGGCACCTATATATGCGCACCCTTGCACACACACGCGCTAGAGTCCACACAAGTATTCAAATCCCCATATGTTCCCATCCCACTTCGGGCTATTTTTTGCAGCCTGTCCCTCGTCCCTCACCCCTCATTACTCACCTAACATGTCCACCCGCAGCCCCACAGGGCTCCGCGCTTCTCGCGGGGGTTTCATCCCTACCTTTTAATTTTACTTTGCGGGTGTGTGAGCAGTCAGAACCACCCCAAACGCCCTGCACGCAATGCCCTTCCCCTCGCTCCCCTCCTTCCGATCCCCTGGTCTCCCGAAGTGAGTTGCTCCAGGAGGGTAGGGGGGTGCGCGGGGGTTGCTGCGGTGTCGCTCCCCCTCCTTCCCCTCCACTCCCCTCCGCGGCCCGGAGCGGCCTCGGCCCCGGCGAGCAGGAATCGCTGGCTCCGGCTGCCATCTAGCGGGCACGGAGCCGTCGGCCCGGGGGAGCCCGGGAAGCGGGGGGGGTTCCGAGCCTGTCTCCGGCCTTCCACCCTACTCCCAATTTTTACCAAAAAAATGTATTTCCCTTTTTTATTTTAGATAGAAAACCGCACTGAGGAGAAGATCTTCTTCTTTTCAATTTCTGTCTCTCTCACAAGCCCGCCTTATCGGCAGCTTTCCTTTTGTCAGCGGTCTGAAATTTGCCTTGGGTTCAAAAGAGTGCATGTGAAGAAACAGACTGTAGAAGCTGAATACCTCCCCCCCGCAACAAAAATCCCATCAACACTAACACCCCAGGCCCCTCCACTCGACACCATACCTTTCTCTTAGCTCCCATTAAAGTTTATAATCAGATTAGAAGCTGAATGGAAAACCTGCAGAAGGAAAAGGAATGAAAAAGGTGACAGAAGTTTTATTGTTATTATTTACTTTTTTAAAGTGATGTTGCTTTAATTAAAAGTAAAGAGAGAGAAAAAAAAGTCCCTCAACTTTGATGTGTAGCTATCACGGTATTTTTTTTCTTTCCCTGTCAACTCTAAAATCTGAGGCTGGGAGCCGCCTGAAGAAAAGATTCCTTCATCATTTCATCAGATCAGAATAAACGCTTGATTTTGTCCCGAAATAATGAAGAGATTTTCAATGAGCCCCTTGGCCAAGCAGTCTCTGTTGTATATTGCATTGATAAAAAGGATGTTATTGACTATGCAACAGTAGGCTTCTTTCCTCTCCCTCGCTCTTTCCAAATAAAGTCTCCCTCCTGTTTCTTGGTCAGTGAAAAGGTGAAACGAATAAGATTAAATAGGACAAAAAAAGCAAGCTCCGTATGTATATCATCTAGATTTTACTCCCCAGACTGTGAAGAGACAGGGAGTAAAACAGGGAGAGCATGGCACGGAGGTGGGGGGGGGGGGGGGGGGGGGGGGGGGGGGGGGGGGGGGGGGGGGGGAGGAGAGAGAGAGAGAGGGAGAGAGAGAGAGAGAGAGAGGGAGACACAGACACAGACACAGACAGAGGCAGAAAGCCTGCGAGAAGGTGGACGGACCCAGCAGCAGCAGCCCGCCTCCTCCCGGACCGGGCATCCTGCCGACGGCCCCGACTTCCCGGGCCAACCCAGGCAAGTCGCCGCTTCCTTCCTCGTGGTTTCGGGGCAGAGGGAGGGGAGCGAGGCCGCGACACTTGGCAGGGACCTTCCCCAATCCTGCCCCCCCGGGGCCACCTCCTCCCCTGGCGTCATTGTATTTGGGCATCCCGTTATTTGGGAGGAGTGAGAGGCGCTTAGTCTTCATTCCGTCCGAGATTTTTTCTCCCTCCTCCCTTCCGTTCCCCTTTCCCCCTGTGGAAACGTGTGGGAATTTCCACCGCTCACCTCCCCAGATAACGTGCTTGTCTCACAGAGGTGACCCACGCGGGTACGGCAGGCACCGACCTCATGTCCCAGGGCCAGCTGCAGCGGCAGGGCGCCGGGCTGGGGACGTGCAAACATTCCAACGTTCTTCTCTTTCACCTGCTTTGTTTGTTATTTGATCACCTAATGAAAAGATCGATGGCAGCTTGTTTATCTGGGTGATAGTGTCAACAGATTACAGGGGCAGTAATCAGATGTTTCCCAGCCAGGCTGGGCACAATTGTGATGCAGAGGGAGCCTAAACAGGCTCAGACTGCACTGATCTGGGTAGCGAGGATTGTGCGGTTGGGAGAAATTCTTTTCCATTGGTCTGTCTGGAAACACTTGGTGGTTTTCACTCGCTCCATGCTGGGGGAAAGCAGTTTTTCAAAGTGTAGTTTGTAGAAATAGCCGATGGCTGAAGGGCCAGTGAAGTTTGCGAGAGTCC